GGAACAGCTGGTAGTTTCGAACTGCTGACCCTGAGGTTCGCAGCCTGATTCGTAACCACTGCATAAGTGGTAAACTCAGGCCAAATGATTTTTTTTTTTACTCCTAATCAATAACTGTCTCTTCTTTCCTAAATTCTTATTTATATTAAAATTATAAAGTAAACTAGTTGTAGTGTTGTGGGTTAAACACTGGGCTTCTAATTGCAAGGTCAGCAGTTCGAATTTATCAGCCGCTCCTTGGGAGAACGATGAGGTCTTCTGCTGCTGTAAAGATTTGTACACTCAGAACCCTATACAGGGTTTTTACAATTTGGAGCCACCACAAAGGATGAAACACAATCACAGGACCACCACCACCATTCAATGAGATCGTTGTTGTTAAGTCCCATCCAGTTGGTTCCAACCCATAGCCACCCTGCATAGATAGGGTTTCCAAGGAGAAACTGGTGAGCTTGAACTGTCGACCTTGCAGTTCAAACCGAATGTGCAGTCTAGAGCATTAACCCACAGTGCCACAGATGAGTTATCTTGATAATTCAATCAACAGAGCTTCAAAGTTTGATACATTTCAATTCATTCAAACCCATTTTCCTCTTATTAATAATTTCTTCAACGTTCTGGATCAAGTACGTTTCCTCAATTTACTAACTAAAGTGACATATGTAAATTCAAGATAATAATTTTGTATGTAGAAGTAAGCATAATATTTTAAATTTGTAACAATACATTTGGTAGTTTTTCTAAGTCTTTTAGTAATTGATGCTTTTTAACCATCTACTAAATGCCAGTCATTATGCTAAAATGTTTGCACATATCACCACACTTAATTGCTGTTGTTGTTAAGAGTTGTCAGTTGGTCATGACCCTACAGAGATAGGGTTTCTGAAGAGTTTGAACTGCCGACCTTGTGGTCAGAAGTCCAGTGCTTGTCCTACAGCAGCACACCAGGACTCTATATCACACTTAACAGGTATTAGTAATTAAACTGCATAAATAAATGTGGACCCAGAGATGCTAAATATTGAAAGGTCACAATATTGCTAAGTGGCAGCAAACAAATTTTACCTAAGTCTCTACAGTCTAAAACTAAGTTGTCATCTCTAAGCCACACCGCCTTGCTGAAGCAGGATGTCCAGCATGTCATTCCAACATTCCTAACTAAAAGGTCAGATAAATTTGAATGGCCCCATTTTACAGATGATTAACTTGTCATAGAAAAGGAATCAAGCAATCAGCATTTATTTTATGGCCACAATATGCAAATCAATATTTAGTTACAAAGAGAGCACAGAGGATTTATGATGCAATATGTAGCCTCAAACAGCTTACAATCTTGTTAAGGTAACAAGAGACTCATAAAACTGGTAATAAATACTATAAGATAGCACATAATAAGTGCCAAATGAGACTTTGAGCCAATAGATGCTAAAGAAATTCAGCAGGGAGGTAAATAAACCTGAAGTGCTTCAGTTCCATTAGGAAATATCTTTGCTAAAAGAGGACTGGTGTTGAATCGATCTTTATAGGAAAGACAGATGAGGAGAAATCATTTCAGAGGTGAATGAATTCTCAAGGAAAAATAAATAGATGAGTTAGAAGAGGAAAAGTGATAACAGGCCAAGTGACAAATGAAACCAGAGGCACCAACTGCAGAAAAGTGTTGATTATTAAATTGTTGTTGTTGTTGTTAGGTGCCATTTACTTGGTACCAACTCACAGTGACCTTATGCACAGCAGAATGAAACACTGCCCGATCCTGGGCCAACCTCACTACTGTTGCCACGCTTGAGTCCATTGATGCAGCCACTTGGCCAATCCATCTTATTGGGGGTCTTCCTCTTTTTCTCTGACCCTCCACCTTACCAAACATGATATCCTTCTCCAGCAACTGGTCCCTCCTGACAATATGTCCTAAGTATGAGAGATGAAGTTTGGCCATCTTGGCCTCCAAGCAGCATAATTATTAAATTAGGAATCAAGAAATGCTAAGCATATGACACCTGCTAACAGCACACACTTATTGTTTATTTAATCTGATCAACAGCCCTGTAAATTATTAAATTAGAGGTAGCACGACCATTTTAAAGCAAAAAGAAACACATACAACACAGGCTTGTATGTGTGAATGAAGCAGAAGAACCAATTTAGATGTATCTGCTTTTAAGTTCCTTCTACTACTCCTTCAGCACCAAAAGCAATGGGGAGTCAATAAAGGTATTTGGTCAAGGCAAGAGAGTGTCATGAAAAACAGTGGGAGACTAAAGGAAGGCTAATTTGACAGTGAGATTGTTTTTGTTGTTAAGTGCCATCCAGTCACTTCTGACCCATTGCAAACCTGTATAGGGTTTCCAAGGAGCAGCTGGTGAGCTTGAACCACTAACCCTGCAGTTCAAATGACTTTGCAGTCTGATGCATTAGCCCATAGTGCCACACCAGGACTCCAACTGTGAGATATCAGATCCTAATATGTGGCGCCGCTGTAGGGATCAGCACTGGACTTTGAACCATGAAGTAGGCATTGTAAAACAGCCAGCTGCTCTCAGAAACCCTATACAGGGTCGCTAGGGACTTCTGGTGTGGCCCTGTAGAATCAGCACTGGACTTCAAACCACAAGGTCTGCAGTTTCAACCAATCAGCTGTTCCTCAGAAACCCCCCATAGAGTCTATATGAATCGGAACCCACTCAAAGGGACGTAACAACAACAATGTGAGTCGAAATCAACTTGACGGTACTAAACAACAACATACCAAACAATTAAAGGATTGCAGAAGGAAGACATTAAAGTACAAGAGTTCACTGGAAGGCATTAACCCAAATAACAAGCTAATGAGGACCTTATCTGAATGCTGACAATTGAAAATAAAAGGATATTAACATTATTACAAAAGAAGTATGAGATTAATGAGAATACCCAGGTTCTCATTATGACAACCATTTGACTAGAGTGTAAATATCCAACCTAAAAATTCAAAAAGACAAAGTCCAAGTTCAAATATTTTTTAAAGATTTTCAGACTTTACATGATTTACCTAAAAAGAATAGAATCTATGGATTAGGTAAAGATCTTCATCAGTGCAACCTACCTCTTAAGACACCATTATGAATTATGGTAGACTTATGTTTGACATGCTTATGAGTTTGGCTTTGGCTTGTTGCCACATATAACTAACACAGATGATATTTATATCCATGCCCATTAAGCATAGTGGCTACTAAGGAGATATTCTTTTCAATTTTGTTTTTCTTTTATAAAAATACATGTTGAGATGTAATGTGTCATATTTGTGAGCGTTATTCTTCTGTGGGGCTTTTCACTTAAAATGCAAAGTACCAATTTGCCACCCAGGGATTCAAATATAAAAACTAATAGTCATTAAATGGTATGTTATTAAACAACAATTTGGATTTCTTCTGCATGGTTTTGACCTCTGGATAATGTGACTCATACAATGCTTAAGAAAAATATAGAATTAAAAAGCCACCTATATTCTTCAAGGAGTTACAGTGTGACACTGTGGGGTAATGCACTGGAAATGCAAGGTCAGTTTGAGCCACATGGCCAGCACTCAATCTTACCAGCCACTCCTTGGAAATCCTAACAGGGTTGCTATGAGTCAGAAGCTACTCCATGGTACTTAACAATAACAACATATTCTTCAAAGAAAATATTTACATAAACTTCCAAGCATTTAGTCAATCCAAATCTTTTCAAACAACTGAATACTGCAATGTTGTCAATCTGGTACTAGCAGGCTAGCAATCAATATAAATAAATGTTTGACCAACAGTAGGTGCGCAAGTAATTTGCTTTAATGTTTAACCATTACACTGTACACCCTAATAAATATGATGCAGGCATGTCATATGTGTTTGAATGTGTACCTTAATATGTCTCTTATTGAAATTGATTAGTAATATTTATAATATAAAATTTTGACTCAGAATCCTTTTAGGAATTTCATATTTACACATTCTATCATCTGATCTTCTTAGTACCCCCTAACTATTATAAAGGATAATCAAAATTTAACGTATTTCCCATGACTAAATGGTGCTGTGGGGTAATGCACTGGAATGCAAAGTCAGTTTGAACTACAAGGTCAGCGGTTCAAGCTCCTCAGAAGCTCTACTCAGGGTTGCTATGGGTTGGAATTGACTCGATGGTACTTAACAGCAACATTTCCCCTTATCTAATCCTGCTGTGGCACTGTAGAATGAGTACTAGACTGCTAAACTTGAGGTCAGTAGTTGAAACCCACCGGCCACTCCTCAGAAACTTTATACAGGGTCACTACGAGTTGGAACCAACTTGCAGGCATTTAACAGCAATATAAATATAGTTTTTTGTCGTTGTTGAAAATGAAATTTTTTAAATGAAATGAAATTGTGTTAAAGTCCAATACAATTAAGCCTACATGTTTTTGAAAGTTAAAAGAATGTCAAATCTGTCTGTATTTAGAAACATTACATGTGTGCAAAGAAGTATCACTTTAGAATCCTAACATTTGTATTTGTCAAAATGCAGTACACATTCTCTTTGAAAACCTTAGACATGGTTGTTGTTAAATGCCTTCGAGTCGGTTCCAACTCAAATTGATCCTGTCTAGGGTTTCTGAGGAGTAGCTGGTAAATTTGAATCGCCAACCTTGCGGTTCAAATCAACATTGCTGTCCAGCGCACTATCCCACAGCGCCACACCAGGATTCCTCTAACTTTGAAAAACTTAGACATTAGAAATAATTCATTTCAAAATTCTTAAGGCAGCAAGTCTGGCCCATATGACTTTAGGCATTTTATAAAAGATATGTTAAACACATTATGTGTATAAAAATAGAATCACAGATGATATTTTTTTTCATATCCTTACTAGTTTCTGTAGTTTTAAAAATATATATAATGATGCAGTCACATATATACTATATTAAAATATGAGTAGTATCCTTCAATTTTATAGACATTATATTCGGAGAATTTTTAAAAAGTCAAAACTCTGTTTACCTCCCAGTCCTGGTCTAAGCCGATTATCATAGCCATCCAGAAGTCTGTCTAAAATTCTCGTAAAGATGGTAATGTTATTTTTAGCCTCATCTTCTTGGCCGTCAGCCAGCACCAACCTAAACAGATAATTTTACAAGCTTATATACATACATAAGCGTGTTTTGCAAGTGCCAACAAGCTCTTCTTCCTGGAATTTCATTTTAAGGTTCTCTAAGCTCTCCATGGCTCATCACATCAACAACAACAAGCTCTTAGTGTCTGTCCCCCATTATCCTTTTTTTTTTTCACTTCTACAAACATCATTGTATATGCTGGGAAGGTAAACATGCTGTTGAAAAGGGATCCTAGATATTAGATGGCCAGGGAGTTTGATCTCAACATTATTTCAAATTTCTACCACTTATACATTTCTTTCTATAATTCATTCCCCAGAATAGAGTATAATTGTAGACTTCCTCTATACTTGTAGATACAATTAGTAACGTTACTCTGCAGTTAGAAAGGAACACTAATCTAAGGGACTCACGAAAGAGTTCTTTAATTATTTGAATATTAATTGGAAAATAAATTGCCTCCATAGAGTTATAAAATTTCTCTGTGTCCCTCATAATTGTCTTTCCTTTTCTCTTTAAACCAAGATTATGTTCTTACTTTGGATATACCTCCACCCAATGGCCAAGTGCAATATAGACATCAGGGAAACTCCACTGGCCTTGCTCCAAGCTCCACTGGTGCCAGGGAGTTGGAGGTGGGCTCTGAATGGATTAGCAACACAACACGCACGCAGCTGCAGCTAGCCTTGGAGGGGCCTTTACTACTGACTGATCTTCAAGAAAAGAGAGAAGGGGCTACATTAAAACAAAAAAGGAAATGCTCATCCATGTTTTTGTGACTATGTGATAAATTTGAAGGAAGAACAAATGGTCTTAAAATATCCTAAAAAATAGTTAGAACTAGTGATTTTCCCCCATGATTTCTCATCATCAAGCTAGAGACTTGTCTGCTGTTGTGACAGTCAGCAATCTGATACAGGAGGAGTTGGATGTGTAAATCAGAATGTCCTTTTTCACTGACATTTTTTCCTATAATGATTCAGAGATTTTAATGAATCCCCCCAAAGAATCAATTATATAATATAATTGACTTCAGCATTACTGGGCAAATATAGAACAAAAAACTAATGGAGAGAAATATGGGCAAGCAGTGAGGCCTGTCACTGATTATTAATTTATCATGGCTGTTCACTTCTTTCACATTCAAAGACTATGTGTGATTACACTCTGATCAAGATGTATTGTATAAAATATTGACAGAGTCCATTTGAATTTAAATGATTGCAGAAAAGCTAAAAATGCTCCTAATGAATTATAATACTGGCAGACAACTTCAAACAAACACTGCTCCTTCAGCAGAGAAAACATTGAAATAAGGATAGCATTTTTTAATCTTGCAAGTAAATTAATTCATACCTTCTAGCCTTAAAAGTTTCTATACTGCCTACTTAAGCTAATTTGAAAGATAATCACTAAGGTTTTCACAAAGTTCCATGTAGTGATTTTCACTTAATTGTTTTTAAACCGCATGTCATGTTCATTTTTTTTTTAAGTCTACTTTCAAGAGTTAAAGAGATCAAAATTAAAAAAAAATTTTTTTTTCTAAGATTATAAAGATTTATTTTCAGTTCTAGAAAATAGTGTTTGCATCTTTTGTCAAATACTTGGGCAGGGAAAAGGAAAAAAAGTAAAAGGGAATAAAGGTATTGGTTAAAAATGGTGATGAAACTTGTATTTTACATTATCTATTACTTAGAAAATCATATTAGAAAGGCATTAAACAAAAAGTGTCCATTTAAAGTATCAAGATAAAAATAAAAATAGACAAATACGGAGTTACTGAAAGCAGTATTAATTAATTGCATATTTGTAGAGCATAGGGACAGAAAAACTGGTTACATATTTGAAATAGGTACTTTTTGTAATTGTAATTGTTTTAGGAATAAAATTTATCTAAATAAATAATATCAAAATGACTGATAAATCAAGCATTTATTTTAATGTTTGTGATTGTGAAGTTGTATACTACCTCCACCTAGAGGTTTAGGACTCACACATCATTTGTGGTTTTTCTATATTGACTAAAAGAACCAAAACCATAAAAAAAATAAGAAAAATATTTAATTAACACCAAAGTATTTTTAGCTTTAAGGAAAACTATTGGCTTTCATACTAAATTTTGTTGTGATTATGGAACCATTTAACTAAAATACTTCAATTCCATGTAAGAATTTTACCACTCAAAGGGGATTCTTTATTTCAGAGGTATTTTTCTGTTTAAATAATATTTCCTTTCACTTCTGGATTGTATTATTAAAAACAATTAGCAATGAACTTTTTAAAGGCTCTGACACTTTGTACATCAGTCTTCTGGTGCAACCTTTAATTTAGAAATAATTATTCAAAATAACCCAGATTCTCAAAAACTACCACTATGTTCACAGTATTCAAGAAACGTACATTTACCCAGAATTAAAATGAACAACTACAATGTCTCACCTGGCTGGGTTCCAAAATAAGAAAACCAGAAACAGCAAAATGTTCCATTTTGTCTTCATTCCTGTTTTTTGTAAAGCCTTGAAAGAAAAAGAAAATAAACTTAAAATTACATTCAATTCTCACCATCCAAGTAAACCAAAAATTATCATTTCAAAGGAGAACTAGAGTTAAAACTATGGAGATTACTCAAGTGGAGGGAGTAGAGGGCTTGAAAACTGGGGGAGGGGTCAGAGGGTTTTTTGTTTATCTCTTTTTGACAGTAAGATGACCAAATATTCAGACTTTGTTCTGCCAGAAACTTCCCTTGGCCCCATAGTCTGCAAACAATGTTTTGTGCATGCATGTAATGTTAATAACATCAGGGACCCTAAGCGGGTATATACATGACATGGACAGGAGAAGGAAATAGGGTGGAGGGAAAAGTGGAAAGGGGGAGGAGAGATGGGTAGTTCATGCCACAGCCCTCTCAACAAAACCCACCCCCGCAATCTCAGCAAAATAAAATTGAGGGGAATCCAGCCCACTTTTTAAATTATTCTTCTTTTCATTACAGTGACCTAGGTTCTCACTTCTTCCAAAATAAAATGGAATAATTTCCCTGTCGTGTCCATCCACAGTTGCCCAAGACCACATCTGCTGACAGCCGGAATCTAATCAACTGCTGCGAAACAGCGCGTTTGACAGCTGTTCAGGAGTCGACAACCACAATTTAGAGAAGGAGCATAAGGCTCTGGGATCAAATACCAGCCAGGCAGGCAGCAGCAATCACAGTGTGCAAAGTTGAGGACTATAAAAGAGGGAGACTAACATGCCGCCCGGCGGGCTTATGGGATCCCATTGTAGTTGCAAATACGATTCTGGGGATGAGTATGGATACGATAATTTTAAATAGGCTCCTGATGCCGGGCCGGCGGGGGGCGGGGGGGGGGGGGGGGGTGTTGTGGACCTGAGCCTCCTAGGTTTAGAAGAAGCATCTGAGAGTGGGATGGAGCGAGATGAGACATGCACTAGAGGCGAAGACAAATGGAAATGGTCTCTGTATTGGGACCAACGCTTGCGACCCTACCTGAAACAGCAAGCCGAAATCGGTGTTTTTTTTCCCCTCTGCTCTGATCTTGAGGAAATAAGAAACTTGCGAGACAGAGACAGAGGAAGAGAGATAAAGAGATATGCGAGACAGAGATAGGAGAAAGAGAAAAGAGAGACTGCAGCAGCAGCCGCGTAACTAGCCGAGAGCGATGGGCTGGTTGAAACCAGAGGGGAGCGCGAAGAGCGGCGGCCGCGGCGGCGGCGCGAGAAGTAGAAGGAGGCGAAGGCGTCCGTAGTGGCGGTAATAGGCGGAGGAGGAGGAAGAGGAGGGGGGAGCGATGGCAAGAGCGGGCGGGGCTGCCGGGCGGGGGGAGGAAAACGGGGGTGGCGGCGCGGTGTGCGCAGGCGGTGGCGGGCACGAGCCCCGCGCCAGGAGGAGGAGGAGCTAGGCTGTGCTGGAGAGCTAATGAGGTTCCTGGTGAACGCAGGGACCCCCCTCCCGATGCGACCCCGGTAACCGCTAGCCGCCCGCTGGGCACCTGCAGCGGCGCAGCCCCGAGAGGCGGTGGGCGCTGTTGTGGCCACGCTGTGCCTGAGGAGCGGAGCCCGCGCGCCGCCCGGAGCTGCTCCCAGCTGCCGCCCGCCGGGGCTCCCCCGAGACCTGGAGGTTCCTGGGGGAATGTGGGGTGGAGGGCTGCTGGGGGTGTCCGTTCCGAGTCAGGAATGCAGCGTGTTAGTGCTGCCCTAGCTCCCCGGCGCTGCGCCCTGAAGCCTGCTCTCCAACATCCCCAGGCTTTGAAGAGTCGTGGCTTCTGGGAAGAGAAGTACCGCTCCCGCTGAAAGCAAAGGGGCTAATCTTGCCCATACTTAGTCATAGGCGCATCCACGCAAGTCCAGCTTCAACGCATGTTGCGTGGAATCAGACAGCAGGAAGTTGTATTAATTTTTGTGTTTTATTTCAAATTTCCTGAGCCCCCTTCATGTAAGCACTCATTCTTCCAAGCTTCTGCTAGCAAGGCGTCTGCAAAGCTCAGAGGACTAGAGTCTTGCCGAACAGTAAAGTACTTTGGCAGAGTATACACCTTGGGAAACCTTGAACTCGAGCTCAGCAATTCTTTCCCCGTCTTCATGGCACATGTATCCTCCTTTTCAGGTCCTCAAATTCCATCAACAGCTCTAAAAAGTTTTCTAGTTCAGTTGAGCAAAAGGGAACTTGCTGTGCTTCAACTCCCTCACCAATTAATTCTTCCTCTTTTGTGGGAGGGGTGGTGGCAAAAGTAACAGGTTTGAGGTTACCTCCTTTAGGGCTTTTCTATGGTAAAGAGAAGGACCTGTTTGTAATTCCAGCGCCATTGGTCACGTTCAACATTGAATGTTTGATCTGTCCCTGTTCCCTTCTATATTATCTGAGGTGATAAAATTCAAACGTGAAACTTGAACTCCTCCTCCCATGCAAAAAAAGATTTTTCTTTTGTAGGGAACATAAAACAGAGTATTATGCACATTCTACAAAGGCAAAGCAGAGCAGGTGTTTATCTCAAGAAGTTATAAATGTTAGACACCTTAAAAGGAAACAGAAGAGGGGAAAAAAGAGATAAGTATGCTGATACATTCAGAGTCATTATGCGCCAAACACTTCAATTTTGTTAGTTATGCACCAAAAATTCAGATGTTTTTTCCTAGATGGTGTGGCTTTCCTAACAGGCACTAGTAATCTGCAGTACATTTGAGCTTTGCTTTGAAGATTATGTGAGTAAGAATCTTTACATTGTAAATATTTTCAAGCTGTCCTTTTTAACCTGTTAATCACCACTTTCTGAATGAGCATTTAATATGCTACAACCTAATCAAACATTTGTTCTCCTATTTAGCTGGCACTGAGAAGAATAGAATACCACCCTGCTTTCTCCTCCATCATTAATATTCCCTTCCTGACTTCCCCATTGCAGAGCCTAATTGAAATTCACAAAGATAAAAAGCATGCCATTTAAAACCTTGCAACCAGGAGATCTAAATATCTTTCACTTGGCATGAACACTTTACTCCCTACAGTATTTTCCTATTTTCCATTCCTTGGAGTCAATCTCCATTAAGATCTCCATTACTTCTCTATTTATATTACTACTAAATTTTTTATATTTTGACATTAAAAAAGTTAAGCAGTGCATGGTTTCTTCCCAGCCTTAATTGTTATGCTCCAAGAACACTTCTCTTTCATGAATGTCACAATTTTTATGTCTTCATAGATTATTCTTTTAATTCTCACTAGTCTTTTTCCCTGTATTTTAATATTAAATTATGGATGTTAGTTTTAATTACAATATCAGAAAGTTTGCATCTATTGGAATGATTTTTTCTAAAAATTCACTCTTTTCCGCTTACTGTGTTTTGTAAACCCATTCCATATAATGTACTTAAGTGGTACCTCACAAAGTTCAAGCTGTTTTGGTTTTCATCATTTTTTGTGTGTATGTTAGAATAGTCAATATATTTGAAGATGAATTTATTTGATTAAAGCCCCATAATAAAAGCTAGATTAAAAAGTCATTATAAATCCTGATATTTGGTTCTTCCAGACAAAATGCTATGCAATTTTATTAATATAGAATACTTGTGCTTTAAACTTCAAAACACATTAAAGGAAATGAAAATCAGAAAAGCTTCCCAATCCTACCCCACAGGGAGAGGACTTTTATTGTTGTGTATACACTAATATCTCATTAATACTATTCCAGCTGAATTTCTTAGAAAATTGTTCAGCTTCCCCAAATATCTGACAAATCCAACTCAATTTTCTTCTGCTCTTTTGGTGATAACGTGCAGGTAAACTGCCTGAGTATTTGAGAGTCAGCCTGTGTGGGTTGTGATTAAGTTTTTACCAACTGTTTTTGGAGCATGTCCTAAAACACCCAATCCTATAGAAGAATTAAGAAGTAATTGATGGAGTTGTGGTGATTACAAATCGGGCTGCGAACCTTAAGGTCAGCGGTTTGAAACTACCAGTCGCTCCGCGGGAGAAAGATGAGGCTTTCTACTCCCGTAAAGATTTACACCCTCGGAAACCCTGTACAGGGTCGCTATGAGTCGGACCCGACTTGATGGCACTTAACAACAACAACAACAACAACTGCAGGTTAATGCGTTGGACTACAAAGTCGGTTTGAACTACAAGGTTGGCAGTTCAAGCTCACCAGTTGTTCCGCAGGAATCACTCCTTTGGAGCATGGCCTATGGCCCCCAATCCTACAGAAGAAGTGACAACTAATTGATTACCAGTAAATCCATTTCCATCCAGGCTTCTTGCTATTATATGCCATGGAGTCAGTTCCAACTCATACTGACACGGTATAGGGTTTCCAAGGCTGTAAATCTTTATGGGAGCAAAAAGCCTCAACTTTCTCCCATGCAACTGCTGGTAGTTTCAAACTGCTGTCCTTGAGGTTCACAGCCCAATTTGTAACCACTATGCAACCAGAGCTCCATCCAGGCTAGGGTTATATAAAGGTTTCATTTGAAATTGTTTGAATTACACTCTTAAAGATTAAGTTAAGGAGAGGTCACTTCTTATATAATCTCTACCCTCAATTCTCAAGTCCCAACATTAATTGTCATATGAGGGCCAAGATTAAATTAAGCTGAAGAAATGGGGGATCATGTGTTTTGTCTGATTATCATTTAAAGTCCACCATTAAAACTGCTCATGATTTTGAACAGATATTCTATAGTGCTTTCCTTTTTAGGGCCCAGCTATGGAGAGTCTGGTGTGGCACTGTGGAATGCACTGGACTGCAAAGTTGGTTTGAACTGAAAGATTGGTGGTTCAAGCTTACCAGCCGCTCCTCAGAATCCTATACAGGGTCGCTGTAGGTTGCAACTGATTCAGAGGCACTTAATAACAGCAACGTGGAGATTTGGCACCACTAATCTATAAGGTGGTGGTGGTTGTGTGCTGTGGAGTTGGTTCCTACTCATAGCAACCCTGTACAGGGTTTCCAAGGCTGTAAATCTTTACGGGAGCAGAAAACCTCAC